TAGGTCAACTGGCGCTTACTCCTGGCAGCTTGAGGAATCTTTTCCTTTGTCTTGACCTTGGACAGGTTCATCACAATGTGTCTTGGAGACGCTCAGTTGGAGTTGAGGCACCCTGGGGTCCTATATCCCTCTTTTAAAGGAGTATGTCAGAATCTTTGGTGATATTTAGGAAATTTTCATTTATAATATTCTCAAATATGGCTTCCATTCCCCTGGGGCATTCTTATTCCCCTTCTGGGATACCTATAACTCGTATATTTGAATGCTTCATATAGTCCCATAATTCTGATAGTGAATGTTCTGCTTTCTCTCTCTTCTTTTCTGCCTCTTTAATATCTGAGATATCTCAAGAGCTTTGTTATCTACATCTGAGATTCTTTCTTCTGCATGGTCTAATCTGTTGTTGATACTTACTATTGCATCTTTAAGTTCCTTAATTAACTGCTTCCATTCCTTCAGCTCTGCTATATCCTTTCTATAGTCTTCATATCATTCATCTCTTATTTGATTCTGTTTTTGGATTTCCTTTTGGTTATTTTCCATCATTTCCTTCATTATTTTCATCATCTGTATTCCAAATTCCCTTTCTGTCATTTCTAACATTTCTTTATAGGTAGAATCCTCTGTAGTAGCTACCTCATGGTCCCTTGGGGGGGTTTCTCTGGACTGGTTTTCCATGTTGCCTGGATTTTTCTGCTGGTTCTTCCTCATAAGTGATTTATCTGCTTCCTTGTCATAATTTTCCTTTCACTTACTCTTGCTCTTTAAGTTTCTGTGCCTCTGGACTAGGGTTTTGATGAGTTCTTTTGGTATAGGACCAGAAGGAGAAGAATATTGGAAAGCAGGAAGAGAAAAAAGAGAAAGAAAAAAAGGGGAAGTGGAAGAAAGAGAAAGATGGGTGGGTAAACTGGAATATTAACAAAGAGAAGAGAGGCACAGAAAGAGGGAGACAGGAGCAATATAGGTGTACAGTAGGGTACTATGACCCAACATTAGAAACTCCCAACCTCTGGGGGTGATGGGTTGGGTTGTTCCCTTGAGGTCAGCAGCTCTTTGCTAGCCTATTTGAACATAGTACCCAACCTCCATCAAGTAGAGAAGAAAGACAAAAATGCTATAAATCAAATCAAAACAAGCAAACAAAAAACTTTATGGAATAAAATTGGACAAAAAGCCAAATAATAGGGGTAGAAACACTAGCAGAAATGAAGTTCTAATTGTTAAAAAAGGCAACAATGAAAAATTATATTTAAAGTAGAAAAATGAAGAAAAAAAGAAAAGAAAAATCTATAAGGAAAATGTCTAAATTAAAACAAACAAACAAACAAACAAAAAAAACAAGAAGGAAAATCAAAAACAAAAAAAAACAAGCGGACAAAAAAAAAAAAAAAAACCAAAGCAGTATATATGTCTTGTTGGGCAACCGGTCATTGTGGCATGCCTATCTGCCAGCTATAGTGCCCTTCAACAGGATGTAGGGCCATTTGGAGGCCCAGTCATGCAGGCTGGTGTTGGCACCAGCTGCCCTAAAATCCAGCACTCTACCTGCCCCATCTAGAACTTGTCAAGGTACAGCTGCAGCTCCTTATTTGACCAGCTGTTCAGTGAGTCTTACTGATACAGTGATCAGTGATACAGGATTCCACCACTCAGGGCTGGACAGGGAGCCCCTCCACCTCCCCAGTGTCTAGGCCAGGTGAGCTCAGAGGTCAGACCCCCATTTCCAGGCACAAGCAGACTGCCTTTTTCGGGACACACCCTCTGGATTTTGGTAAATTCATGGATAAAGCAGCCTGAGATGGTTTTTTGGGTAGTTCCACCTTAAGTAGGAGCACACATCCTAATCCTTTCTCAGATGGAAAGACTCTAAAAGACCTGATAACCTAATGGAGGAGGAACTACATTCATTCATTTGTTAATGCACTCATTAACTTTGAAAAGATGTTTTTCCATCTATCAACTCCTGGCCAAGTGTAATTCTCTAGACCTGATACCCTTAGATGAAGAGCCCACATAGAGATTCTCCAGTTATTTCCATTTTATCCCCCATTCCAGAAGCTCTGGTACTTTTATTTCTTCTGTATTCTTTTCTAACTTCTAATAAAAATTCTATCTTACCACCGATCTGTGGTCCATTGTTTGAGTCTTCAAATCTCCAAGACCAAGGACCTACTGAAGAGCAAAATTCAGGTATCATTATGGCTGCTTAGTTGCCAGAGCTGGTGGGCTGGTATCAGTTTTATAGGTGCCAGAGTGGAGCTCTCCACATCTTTTCTAGGACTTGCTGAGGCTACGTGGCAGGTGGTTGTTCTGCCTCTGGCTCAGTAAATTTTAGGGCCATTGGATGCCTATTTGGAGGGGCTAACGTCAGTTTCTAAGGGCCTTATGGAGCTCACCCTACCTTCCAGAACCAGCTAAAGCCAAGCAGCCACTTGCTGTACTGGCCTGCTCAACAGAGATTTAGGGCCCTTTGGATACTAAAACTTGCAGGCTGATGACAGATGTGAAGGTCCCAGGATGTGGTGTTCACCACTCCCCTTCAGCACCCTTAAGTTAAGTTAGCCACTGCTTTTTCCTGAGGCTCCTCCTACACATGGGCACACACGGCATGCCAAAGCTACCTTACAGGGCTTCACAGAATAATGCTCCAGCCTTCTTTCCTCTAAGCCAAGAGGGGTAGAGCTAAGAGCAAAACTTCTAGGTGAAGCCCCTATACCAGGGGCAGTGTGCAGATGGTGGGCAGAACTGTCCCAGAGGGTAGGGTCAGAAACAGCCAGGTGAAAGCCAGGCACAGCCAACATGCTGGCCCTGCCAGTATCAGATTTAAAAAGAGTGATTTCCTCCTATAGTGGAGGGCTGGGAATCCCCATCTGGCAGTCTGCTTCTGGGGAGGGGAGTGGTCAGAAAGTGGAATCACCTGAGTCTAGGCCTACCCTCCTCCAAGCTGGGAGAAGCTTCCAGATGGAGCCCCTAGCTGGAAGCACTGTGTAGATGGCAGGCAGAACTGTCCCACACTGTGGGGTCCGAGCCAGGAAGGTGAAAGGCAGGTTTGGCTGAGGGCCAATGTCACCAATGTCACTATAAATAAGCCACTTTTTCCTCTTGTGGCAGGGGCAGGGGTGCTCCCAGCTCATAGCCTGCCATCAGGGCCACACAATGGGGGGTCACCTGAGTTCCCGCCTGCTATGGTAGGGAGGCAGGGCACAGTTCCCTGCACTGGTCCTGCACCCTACCTGCTGCACAAGCACTCCTTCCTGCCAGATGCCAGTGTGACAGAAGCTGGCCTCTGTAACTTGTGCTCATGTAGTCACTATGGGGGAGGGGCAACGGTAGGGTGACCAGATTTTAACATTGGTAAAGCAGGACAACATGGGGGGGGGGGCGAGGAGGGGGGTGTGAGGGCGGGGTGGGGCAGGGACAGAGCAAACCTTTTTTTTTTTTGAGACAGAGCCTCAAGCTGTCCCCCTGGGTAGAGTGCCATGGCATCGCAGCTAACAGCAACCTCCAATGCCTGGGCTCAAGCGAGTCTCCTGCCTCTGCCTCCCAAGTAGCTGGGACCACAGGTGCCCGCCACAATGCCTGGCTATTTTTTGGTTGCAGCCATGTTGTTGCTTGGCAGGCCCAGGCTGGATTCGAACCCACCACCTTAGGTGTATGTGGCTGGCACCTTAGCCACTTGAGCCACAGGCGCCGAGCCAAAAATGCAAACTTTGATAAGCAGTTCTCGATAATCACTTCTCAACAATTACTTGTTATTATTACAGTTTAACATAAAATTATATCCTGGCGAAATAGCCACATGGCAGTGGAAAACCGTATATTCTCCTCCTGTTCTCCCGCCCATTCGTGCATTCTTTCCAAAAATCAGGACTTTTTAAAAACACCGCAGGACGCGGGACAAATTGTTCAAAAGCGGGACTGTCCCGCCAAAAGCGGGAAGTCTGGTCACCCTAGGCAACAGCCAGATTTCCTTAGCTGCTCCAGCATGGGAGAGGGGAGTAGCGCAGCCCAACCAGGCTAAGTAGAGCTGGTGTTCCTTCCACATACCTGCACAGAAGGGAGTGGGCCACTGCATGGGGCGCTTTGTCCTACTGATAAAAGGGGAGGATAGGCTGTGGATTAAGCCAGCTGGAGTCAAAATTGCTCTATTCTGATGGGCAATAGGGAGATTCAGAGGAGGAAATGCCTAGGTTCAGGAAAGCTGGGTATCTGGTCCTACATGGCACTCCCCTGGGGTAAGAGTTCCTGTGATTTGCTGCTCTTAGAGTACCCCATCCCACCACCACCACCCCCCACCTCCGTGGTGGAAGGAGTTTCCCTTACCCTTTTCTTAGTTCTGGGCTCCTTTGTATCTGGTCCACTCTGCCAATGCCCTCTCCTTTCTTCCTCTTTCTTATCCTTGTCCTCATGGTTCCTGTGTCGGTGAGGTCACTAAACTCCTCTGTTAATCTCTACCTGTGATATACATTCCCCCAATTTTGATTGCTTCAGGTTCACCTCAGTCTAATCTTCCTCCTAGCTAGGATTGTCCTAGGAGAGAGGCCTGTCGTCTGAAGTCTTGCCCTTCTCCCTCAGCAGTGGCTTTTGATGAGACCATTCATTGAGGCATAGAATGATGAGTAGAGGGGGTTTAAGAGAATGAGGTGGAGAAAGAGAATGAGGAGTGTTTTCTTTCTCCCTCTGGATTTAGGAAGCACATATGTCTCCACTGCATTACTAGTAACCTGAGTCGGTCAGTGCAAATTTATTTAGTATACAGCTATAGCTTGGTTTATTTGTACCCTCCAAATTTCATGCTAGAATTTGATCCCCAGTTTTGGATCTCTGGAGAGAGAGAGAAGGAGAAAGAGAATCCAAGGAACAAAGGTCAGAACAATGAAAGCGTAGACTACTTTAGAAAAGCTGGGGCTGCGCGGCTGCTGGTGTCGGAGCTGTGGCGGCGCGAATAGGGCTCCTTGGAGGCTTGGCGCTGTTCTAGCTGTAGCGAGACCTGCGTGACCCTCAAGTATGAAATCAAGAAGCTGATCTACGTACATCTGGTCATATGGCTGCTGCTGGTTGCCAAGATGAGTGTGGGACACCTGAGGCTCTTGTCGCATGATCAGGTGGCCATGCCTTATCAGTGGGCATACCCATTTTTGCTGAGCATTTTGCCTTCTTTCTTGGGCCTTCTCTCCTTCCCCCGCAACAACATTAGCTACCTGGTGCTTTCTATGATCAGCATGGCGCTCTTTTCCATCGCTCCTCTCATTTATGGCAGCATGGAGATGTTCCCTGCTGCACAGCAACTCTACCGCCATGGCAAGACCTACCGCTTCCTTTTTGGGTTTTCTGCTGTCTCCGTCATGTACCTGGTGTTGGTATTGGCAGTCCAAGTGCATGCCTGGCAATTATACTACAGCAAGAAGCTTCTAGACTCTTGGTTCACCAGCACACAGGAGAAGAAGCGTAAATGAGGGATAAATGAAGCCTGATAACCTGCTCTGTGGGGTGAAGCCTGGGATTGCCCTTGAATGAAGCGACAGGGATAGACAGGCTGTTTGCAAATCTCTTCTGGTAATTTTAGCAGCTATGATGCAGACCAGGCCAGATTTCTGCAAAACCCCTCCTCTTGTCATCTAATGAGGTGGCAAAACTGCATTTAATTTATTCCTGGTTGACTAGAACTGGATGACCAACGGCTGTGAAACAAACTCTAGCTTGTTCAAATTGAGGCCTTTCAGCGTTTTTCTTTTCTTTTTTTTTTTTTTT